TTATTGGAGGATGATCATTTGTTCTGAAATAGTTTTTTCTTTGTCAGTAGCAAGTACGCCACTCTTTCTATTCTAGACAAACGTTTACCTTCGTTATAATTATATATATATATATATATATATATATACCTTACGATTCTGAATACTCAATACCTGAATAAGCACTCTTAACTTTCTGTATCTGAGTGCACACTGATGTGACACTTATTTTCAGTCAGAAAGCTGTTGACATATATATATATATATATTGTAAACTACCGCGGATTTCTACTTTTTCTTCATACAATCTTCTCGTTTCTATATAAAATTGTCGTTTCTCCTATGGTTTTGTTTTTCCTGCTACTAACATTATTACTATTCAGGTACCATACTTATATATTTCTGTTTCTACCATTGATAATGAACTATGCAGATTACCGATATTTAATATTTTAGTTCCGTCACGTGATTAAAAACGTTACCATTTCCAAAATAACACAGGCCTGCGAATTTAAACTTCATAACAGTTGTTTTGGTTTTAATAACGGATTTTCCATAATTCAGCTACGCAGATTTCGAAAATAACATTTTTTTTTTCTATCATGTAAGGATTTTTTGACAAATCGGGAAGAAAGAAAACTCTTACTTAGATCAAATTATTATTTCTTTTATCACAAGAAACATTTTTTATTATTATGTTTGTTAACAAAAATACAAACAAACTGAAGAAAGGAGAAGAACATTGATGTCAAACGAATATATATTCTTATTCATCACGATTTTTTGTGAAATATACGTCTTTTAGTCTCAAACTACGTGTTGGGGTTTTTCTTTTATGTATTGTGTTATGACGTTTTGTACGTGATGGAGAAAAATGGATATCATTTTCGGATGTAGCGTACAGGAATTACTGTAGAACATGTAAACATTTCAAGACAATAAAACCATCACAGGCCTGTGTAATTAAATGTTATGCTTCATTTTCAAAGTTCTTGAGAATTTATCCTCTTTTAATACTGACATGTAATATCTTTCAGATCATGTTTTAACATATAAAAAAGGGACATTTGTCATAAATGTCCGCAGTCATCAGTAATTTCTTTAGATCCGGGGAGAGGGAGTAAATAGTTACATCACTATGTCATAAGCACTGCAACATACAAAATTGCATTTGATTATAGCTGTATGTTTTATTTTATTAGTCTTATCATGTAAATGGTTGCAGTAAGTGTCTATGAAACATGTTTATTGAGTAGTATAATATAACATAGGCTTACTTTCAATTGTTCTAATACATGCAGGGAGTTATAAGCAGCAGTCCGTAATCATTAGATTCACAACATAAAATATTTCCTTGTGTTTTTGAATTACCACACGAACCTCTCATTCCATAAGATTATATGTTCTTTTTTAAAGAAAGATTAATGTTAGGGATTTCAAAATTGTAAATCTCTTCAGCAGTCTTCAAATTAATACTTAACGCTTTATGTATTTGTTTGTTTCCTCTCCATCCCATTTTCCCACGCCCTATTATCCCTTTTATCGATTTATCCCCCACGTAAAAAATCATAAAATTAGTCTTGAAGTTTACCTAGGAATTTTTTTATCTAACATGTACTCGTAGAATAAATGAATAAAATGTGAATAAAAACAAAAAAGGTTCTTTTAAGTATGATCCTCCAGTGGTACAACAGTATGTCTGCGAACTTACAATGCTAGAAACCGGGTTTCGATACTCGTGGTGGGCGCACGGATAGCTCATTGTGTAGCTTTGTGCTTAATTACTAACAACAACAACATCTTTTTAAATAGTTTCACAAGGTAAAAGTTTAAAGAGATAATAAAAGTATATAATCAGTTTTTTTTTCATTTAAGATAATAAATTTATCCGAGCAATGTGCAGTAAGCGATTGAAACATACTTTGCAGGATGTCCAGTTTGCAGTTTCTGCTGGATCTCTGAGTTTCAGCGTGGGTTTGTACTCCGCGGCTTCAATAATCTGTATCATAATCCTGATGAGCAGAAGACTCGCACGTGTGTTTGGAAAAGGAGAATTGGGTGGACCGTCCAATATGGCGTGGAGTACATTTGCAGTTTTGGTTATCATGTGGTTCTTGTATGTTCTCTTATCATCATTGCAAGCATATGGTCACCTATTTTAAGAATATTCAAAATAAACTGAATGCGTACATACAATCAAATTTAATTTTAAATTTGAAAAGAAAAATCATATTTCAACGCTCTTTAAATATTTTTACTGTATAAAATACTAGTTATGATATATCAACACTAGAATGAAGCTGTTTTAATGATTGTCAGTAACTTTTACATTTACTGGCCGAAACTATGTCGTCTCAATCAATATGGGTTACTCTGAATAGTGACCGTCAAACATGTTTCTGCACAGTTCCCTCTTGAATGAAAGAAAATAAACATGAAAAGAACATACGGAAAATAAGATAATACCCTTTAATTTTTTTTTCTGTATAAAATATATAAAATTTGTGAGTGGTTATGGATTACTCTAAATTTCAATCTGTAAAACTGGACACTGGTGGGATCAAATCTTATGTTGTAAGTTACTAAAATGGCTAAACTGGCCAGACATGATCCAGGCTTTAATAAGTAAAGCGTTGATATATATTATCATAATAAGACCGATAATATTATAACTAACATACATTTTCTATTAACAGAAATAGAAACTGTTTTAACATCTCACTTTTGGATTTTGATGATAGTTTTCTGACTAATAAATTTTCGTAGAGAACTAGTGCTCTAGTGTTAATATTACAAATGTTTTCTATCAAAGAGGAAAAGTACTTAAGTATATGTATCGTGTTAAATTATAGATGAATATCAAGCAGTGTTTGCTAGAAGAAGTAAATATAAGCGTTTTGTTAAACAGATTAAAAGAGGAAAACAATAAAAACCACCAAACACGTTTTTAGTGTATTATCGTTATTAATAAAAGTTGTTGCAATTATGCTTAAAAATAAATTTTTTAACGTTTCTCATTATCATAATACTTATGATATATTATTACGTACAGCACAAAATGTGTGTAAAACATTACTTGTTAAAAAGAATTGACATATTAAAACACCATAGCGTCAGAGAGAGCACCACTAAAAGATCCATTCTGCTAACGTATTTTCGATATTTTGTGTGCTTTATGTTTTCTTTTCATTGGTGATTAATGCACATTTTTAAGCTTAAAATTTGTAACTTTCTGCTTTCACAAACGTATATTATTTTAACTTTTGAATTTCAAATAGTGTATTTAGTACTTTGTGTTTGGTACGTATACATCCAACCCGTAATATTGGATCATTGAGTAGCATATCTAACTTTATATATTAGTAATCAATGACTTCTGATAAAATGAAGTGCTGTATAAAGATCAAAATTAGAAAGTAACTCATAAGTTAACTCACTCTTGTATAACAAACTGACAAGAAGTACTTAATATCTTAAACCGATACATAAGGAAAGTAAAACAGCAACACTATAATTTATTTGGATCATCATTTTTCAAGATATGTTATTAAAGTTGATTGTAATAATTAAATTTCTTATTTATCTTTATGTTTAGGGCTTAAGTATTAAACTAATTTTAACTGACTTGTGATCTTGTTCTGCTTATTGAGTAAAGGATGTTTCTTTGTTAATCTTTATGTTTTTATGACACATGTAACCAGTAAAGAAGGTAATCGCACGTTATAAGAACTAGAAACTCCACATGCTCTCCTTGGGATTACTTTATTCATGGTCGATTGCTAAGCCTTATAGCTATGATTATTGACAGCTTGTTCTAACATTACATCGCAATAATATTGGTAGTATTATTATTATTATTTACAAATCTTTCTTTTACTCGCCCTATACTACGGGGTTTTCAAGTAAGAAGAACATCTGAACTGCACACTTTATGTGCAGCATGTCTCTGCCAACGAGGCCTTTCGCACAACACCACCAGAGCTCATTGAGTCAGTTGAAAATGCATCATTGCCTGACATTGAAATTTCAATGGCAGTGTACTTCAGCTAAGATGTGCAAGCTTCTTTTTAAACTATACATTTTGAAATGCTTTCTTCACACCCTTCACTGTACATAGGCGTCAGTTTTCAAGACCTAATACACAGACGTCTATGAGTGTGCAGTTAGATGACTCCGTGGTTATGTCGAAGAAGGAGATAGCATGCACAATGGTTTCTTTCTCCTTGGTTCATAGGAACAGTGTTATGGAGTTAAACGTGTGGCTCGATGCTTCATCCTGAGGTAGCCAAAGAGTGCATGAATTTCATCTCACTCAGTTTGTGTCAACACCCATAATGTTAAATAGCACCTAGATTTCACCTTTGCTTCCCTGAACACCTTGTAAAATATAATTTTCCATAATATAAAATACATGTGCCAACCACAAAAACCGACAAGAAATATCTTCACATGCTACGTATCATGTTTGAAAGTCCGTATTATTTTGTGACGATTGGTAACAAATTACTCCTTTCTTATAACAGTCGTTCAAGTATTCTCAGGTCTTGTCCAGGTTTAAAACAATCTTTAATTTCTTACACGCAAGGTATTTTTCATACAGTTTTCTATAATTTGTCTTTCTAGTGCCAATATGTGAGGAGAAGCCTGTGCACTCGTGGCTTATGCTTTTTTACATGGATAAACTCTTTGTTAATAATCGGGTGCATAGATTATTGGGATCTGTGCAAATTATTAGCAATCACTTTCTAGGTGGAGGTGTAATGATAGAACAGTCTGTGGACTTAGGCAGTGGTAGTGGTAGTCTTGCAGGTGGTTAGATAATATTTAGGTAATTTTACATCCTCTCGTAGATGTACTGATCTTTTTGTCGATGCTGTACACTAAGTTCTCTCTGAAATTGGTTTACCCTGGATTTTGCGTCTCTCTACTATTTCATTCTACAAATATATTTCCCTGGAAAGGCCTGTAACGTATTCCTTGTGTCATAACTCTACCTGTGGGAGCAGAGTACTGTAGAATGATCGGTAAATCGATACAAATATACACGTGTTAAACATGTCGTTCATGATACCAGGGCTGTGTTGATATATGTAAGTCGTCCTTGAAAATTATGATTACCACTCCCTATTTTACAGTCTTCCTCGGTGATTTAAAGTGGGTTTCTATCGTTACTTTTCTTCTCCATTAAATTATACAAATGTAAGTAACTCTGTATTTTTTTACTTAGATAACTGAATAAGAAATAAGTAGAGAGGTTCTAGATCAACAAAACTCTAACAGTCCTCACAACTGTTTAAAAGTATAAAATGCATTGTATTTTTGTTGTTTTTTAAACATATTTACAGGATAATCTTACAGTTGATTCTAGAAAATAACAATTCATTTTCTTCAACTTATGGACCTAGGTATGTCAAAATCAATTTTACTTGTTTTACATAACTGTTCAATATCACTTTTAAAGATTTAAGTGAATATAAGCTGGTATGAACTGTTACTTACAGAACCTCTCTCTCGCCGTAAATATTATAATTATATTTTGGTAATATTTTCTAAATTTAATGGCAGGTAAAATTATATTTTCTTGATCTAATGAAATGGCGTGTGTAAAGAAATTTTCTTCAGTGGCATCTTATGGTTGGTGTTGTACATATGTTGTTATATATATATTGTTGCATGATATTATATTAGTATGTATGTTCTATACTAACTTTCATATTCCTAACTCATTTCATAGACCCATTACTAACCTACACAATTACTTCTAATAAACTTTACAGAATTAAAAGAATTGGTTATGGCAAATTTAGAAATCGTACATGCATGCCAGGTTTTAATCAAAGAAGTGAAATCATTCTGAAGTCAACAGATGTAGAAATTTTGACATTTATATTCAAGTGTGCTGTGTTGAATTTTTATTCGACATCTGGCTTCTGCGTGACTCCACTTATACAACCTGTACTACACACAACTACTGGGCTTGAACTTTCGCTTTATAATAGAATTTTGTCGTAACATCTCTTTTCGACACACATTAAGTGTGACGCAGAATTTATAAAGTCCCTCTATATTTTTGAAATCAGGCTTAGATCAATTTTAATCATCCATGTCAACTTTCCTGTAGTAGGAAGCTAAATCGGGTATATTAAACCATTTATTTGATTACCACTCATGAATTTGGTTTCCTAATCTAAAAGTTCAATTATAATTACAAAAAAATATTATAAGAATGGATAATTTTTTAATAACAAAGGTAGTTTATTCTCTATATTTTATTCGACAATTACTGGACATTTTTTCCCTCAACTTAAGAAGTATTAACTATATTATACACTAAGAACGTTGATGTTTTAACTATATTATACACTAAGAACGTTGATGTTTTAACTATATTATACACTAATAACGTTGATGTTTTAACTATATTATACACTAATAACGTTGATGCTTTAACTATATTATACACTAACAACGTTGATGTTTTAACTATATTATACACTAATAACATTGATGTTTTAACTATATTGTACACTAACAACGTTGATGTTTTAACTATATTATACACTAATGACGATGATGTTTTAACTATATTATACACTAATAACGTTGATGTTTTAACTATATTATACACTAACAACGTTGATGTTTTAACTATATTATACACTAATGACGATGATATTTTAACTATATTATACACTAATAACGTTGACGTTTTCTTTTTTCTTTTTTTTTTGGCGTGGCTGTAACACGTTCCTTGTAAAACATAACTTATTATCCAAAAAGACAGTAAAGTTAAAATATTTTATCAGGGTGAACGTAGTAATGTTTCTGTAACGCCATTTTTTTAATTTTCGTTATATTTGTTGGGCTTTTGTTACGATTTTGAGCTAAAGTTCCTTGTTGCATCATAACACCAATACCCGTAACTCGCGGAATTTGTTATATTTAAAAATCTATGAAAAACAATGGGATAGTTGTTTTATGATTAGAGTTTGGTAACAGAACATTTTAAGAGTAATATTCGTTAACCATATCAAATTACTTAGCAACCCATATGTCTTATTACAAAAACAAAAATCCAAATATTAGGCTTATACTTGAAAATAACATTGAAATTTTAAAAAGCAAGAAACTAGCCATAATCATTAATAGAAATTTTGTTGTAATATATTTTTCATTTATTTTACTTTTATCAGTATTTCTAATCATTGAATCAAATATTAACTAATAAACACCTGGATAACTTTGACCTAGCCATAAAATATTTCAGTCGTAAATACTAGTCTCGAAGATGCAATATAAACGAAGACATAAATCTAAAACATGATAGGCATATCCCACTGTCCTGTACTATAAGTATTTTAATACAGTAAACAATATATAAATTTTTCAACAGTTCTAGCTCAGAGATGGCAAACCTGGTCTAGATCATATACTAACTAATTCAGTATCAAGTGTTACTCTCTGTGGTATGAGTCAGCCAAGGATGTTTGTACGGTATCCAGCATCACCCTAAGTGTGGGGTATCTTTACAACAATTACAAGTAGAAGAAAATCCAGTTTTGTAATTGCTCTCCTGTAGAGAGAATGTAGATTAAGAAAACGATTATGGTATTTTAGACACACGGGTTTCAATTCGGAAGTAAGGCACACATAGGTCTAAAGTAAAAGCTCAATAGAAATGGCGACATTTTGTATAGGTAATGTTATATATATATATATATATATGCCTACCGATATTAACGATGCAGGCATTCCACTGGGGAAGCGCTCTTATATACCTAAGACAGGCCCAGGTAGTTTAATAAGTAGAACTTAACTTCGCTTTTCATACATAAATAAAGCATGCATTCAAAGAAAGAAAATCACTAAAATAAAGAATTAAAACTTTGGTCTCATTGAAAAAAAAAATATTTGTTCATTT